CAAAGAAAATAAAGGCGTTAGAACAGCGGTTCTCAACCTGTGGGTCGCGACCCCTTTGGGAGTCGAACGCCCCTTTCACAGGGGTCCCCAAGACCATCGGAAAACACGTATATAATTACATATTGGTTTTGTGATTAATCACTATGCTTTAATTATGTTCAATTTGTAACAATGAAATTGGGGGTCACCACAACATGAGGAACTGTATTAAAGAAAGGGTCGCAGCATTGGGAAGGTTGAGAACCACTGTGTTAGAGAGTAATCCAGAATTTATTGGGGAGGGAAACTTTAGATGGAAGGCTGGTTTGCCGAGACGTTGCAGTTTGGGGGGCTACGGACGATATGATCACTTAGGTTTAACGACGGCAATCCTTTTGAGATTCTTTTGCAGTGTCTCTCCCTCCCCACACTGGGAAAATGGCAGGACAATACGGGAACTGGAAAGCCCAAGTCATCATCACTGAAAAGAACAGAACCCAGCAGCTGGCGAAGGCTATTAGATATTAGAGCAACACATTCATTTGGCAACAAAAGCAGAATGGGAAACGGGGAGTTCTTTGTTTCCTGGCAGTCACTGAGGAACAGGTTGTATATTTCCAGCCACTCCGAGGCATGAGCCTTGCCAACGCCAGGGGGAGGGCCCACCAGGTGCAACGGAACCACAAGGGAAAGGTGGAACATAACTGAACAACCAACATTCTATTTGTTGAAAGACGCCTTTAGACACTCAATCCCAATTGACAATACAAAGAACAGAGGAAATGTCAGGAACCACCGCTAACGCTGGTCCCTTCACTCCTGGCATACAGTAGAAAACATGAAGGTAAGCAGAATTTTTTCAAAAATATATTTTCATTGATGTGAGAGAAGGGAGAGAGAGAGAGAGAGAGAGAGAGAGAGAGAGAGAGAGAGATCATGATGAGAGAGAATCATTGATCAGCTGCCTCCTGCACACCCCACACTGGGGATCGAGCCACATCCCAGACACATGCCCAGACTGGGAATCTTCATTCATAGGTCAACCCTCAACCTGACTGGGCTCAAAAATGATTTTCATAAGTATGCACTTGTCATTACTTTAAAATTAAGAAAAATTCAATTAAAGACCTACACTTAAAATTAAAAAAAAGTTTTAATCAAAAGAGTAGCCATGAAAACTCACTCAATCCCAGAATAGTTTGACTCTTGACTGGTGTCTGGGGGTGAATCTAGGCTGAAAGATATTAATTGCAAGAGAGGATGACTGCAGGTGAGAAATAAGTTCAATTATGTTTACAATTTGTGTTAAGGTCCCAAAGATTTTTTTTTTTTTAATTATAAAGAGTCTTTAAGAAGCACACTGCATGTAAATATTTATATAGAAGAGGATTCAATTAAGAACAGTGATCAATCATAACATGATTGTAAGAAAGTAAAAGTTAGGCAAATTTTTTAGTACAAAGAATGGGGAACTGCATTTTTACCTTTTTTCAATGAGAAGAATTATTTTTCCACACTGAGGTCAGTTTTTTTCTTTTAAATTATTCAGAGCTCAGGAGCGACTCCTTCATTCTGTTCCCCTAATGACCTAAGGGCTGCATTTCTATTTTTCCTCCTAAAGTTCTTTTCTCTTTTTGAACTGGCTTCCTAGTCTTGCCTTATCCTCATATGATATAACATATGTCTTTTACGCAGCTTGATTCATTCTCTCCAGTTTCTGATGTTTCTTCTCCTTGGGAATTTGTACCGGAACCTGCTGGACTTTCTCACATCTCTCATTTCTTTCAAAGTTGTTTTTGTCCAGGAAACTGGCAGAAGACACAGCTATTCATGCCTTTAAAGCCAGGTCTACAGACCTTGATGTTGGCTGTGAAAACGGAAACAGCCCTGGGACCCAGTGCCAGCCCACCTCAGCCATGATCCAAGGCCAGTGCTGCCAACCTCACTTGTTGAAAGAGAGGGTGGAGATAATTCTCAATCATAGAGAAAAAGCGTTCATTATCAAAAAGTTAAAAGTCACTGGTTATCACTTTTATATCATCCTAGTGACTCTGCTTTTCTAAGCTGGAGGCAACACACTTCCTGATTTTAAACTATACTAGTATTACAAGGAAATAGGAATCAGAAGATTATGGTTGGCATAAAAACTGACATGTAGGTCACTGGGAAAGAATTGAGAGCTTGAAAAAAATCCATGCATACACTGTCAACTAGTATTGGACAAGAGAGTCAAGAATACTGTACGAGGAAAAGATAGTATTTTCTGGCAGCCACTGAGTAATAGGCTGTGCTGGGAAAACTGGATGTTCACATGCAAAAGAACTGAAGCATTATTTTATACTACTCACTCACAAAATTAGAATGGATTAAAGATCTAAAACCACAAAACTCCTAGAAGAAAACATAGTAAAAAAAAAAAAGCCCCTGACATTTGGTTTGGCAATTATTTTATGGATATGACACCCAAACCACAAGCAACAAAAAGGAAAAATCAATAAGTGGGACTACATCAAACTTAGAAGCACTGCACAGTTACAGAAACAAAAAATTACAGAGGCAATCTCTGGAATAAGAAAAATTGTTGCAAACTACTGACAGAGAATCCAACCATTTCATTTTGGTGCTGATTCCTACATTGGCCAGCTAGGTTTTGATGCTACTAACTTTAGTCTCCAAAATAAAGGTTTGCAACCCTGAGGTAGGACATTTCCAAAAAGTACACGGCATGTGACATAGTAAATGTAAACATGAAGTGTTTCTAACCCTTATAATTTTGTGATTCCAGACACACGGGCACTAACACTGAAGAGGCCATATCACAGGATTTGGGCTGCCCAGAATCTGGTCTTTCTTTTCCCTGGAAGAAAGCATGGCCCATGAACTCTGGTCTGTGAATCTTAAGATCTGGTTCTGCCATTAACTTAAAGGTACCATCTTGGGGAAATTACATATCACATATCTCATTTTCCTCCCTTATGAAATAAAAGAGGTGGGAGTACATGGTCTTATAAGGTCTTTATATCTGTTAGTTTCAATTAATTTCCATTAAACCCATAAACAGGAGGAACAAAAAAAAGGAGGTGTACATATTTACACTCCAAGGGGATTATTATGGCATTGATTGACAGTTCTGAGTATGAAAGATCAGTGTATCTTTAACATTTGTATTTGTATACTCCTCTGCTCCATGGATCCTTGCCCTCAGTCACATGAGTGAGTTTCAGATGGTCTGTGAGTCCTAGGATTTGGGATGCAAAGTTTTGAGTGTATGTGCACATATTTTCTCTGGAGAATGTCAGCAGTTTTCATCAGGTGCCAAAATGTTTATGGAAATGCAAAGATGACAATCTGATTTTTTTTAGAGGAAATATGTAAATATAAAGCCTGTGAAAGGTGTGCTATAAACTAGTTCTCTGGATTAAATACCATCAACCTGGCATTTCCATTAACTGCTAAATCTTTAGACACAAATGATTCCAATTAGGATAGAACAATTATATGCCTAAGTGAATCATCTTCCCATCTAGACACTGAAGAACACAGTTGTCATGATAACACCTGTTATAATTATATTATCATTAATAACTATTAAGTTATCAAGCTAATTTTTCATTTCATAAAACATCTATGTAAAGAAAGCAGTCAAGCCCTAACTGATTTGGCTCAGTGTACAGAGCATCGGCCTGCAGACTCAAGGGTCCCACGTTCGATTCCAGTCAAGGGCATTTACCTTGGTTGCGAGCACATCCCCAGTAGGGGGTGTGCAGGAGGCAGTTGATCGAAGTTTCTCTCTCATTGATGTTTCTAACTCTCTATCCCTCTCCCTTCCTCTCTGTAAAAAATCAATAAAATATATTAAAAAAAGAAAGCAGTCAAGTAGGAACAGTCATTTTATGTAAGTTTACATTTGTTTTTGAATAGTAAGAAGTGAAAAGAACTTGATGAAAGAGTTTGGAAAAAAACATTACATTTCACAAAATGATTCCTAAGCATATGAATTCAAATCAGCTGAGATTTAAAGAAGAAAGAAACAAATCTAAAGAGGTGATTATAGAATAATTAACAAATTACTCTGGTCTTTACTTCCTATAAGATATGCCTCATGTGATGAAAATCTCGTTTGAATCAAACTTCAGCATAACAGAGGAAAACAGATTTGTGCCACCATTCTAGCTATTGACGGTTTATGCCATTTATCTTGTAAAATGCCTTTACTTTGGGATTTGTGTGATTGCTTTATTTGTGGTGACATTTAGCTCATTTGTATCTCTACTGTTGACAGTTAAATAGGTATAAGTTACATATTTTGGAAAAAAATAAGTCAAGTAATTTGTAGTTTTTTTCACTTTTGAACATCATATGGACTCATGTATTTTTAAATAGATTCATTGTATTTAATTTTTTTATTATTTATTTGAGGGAGAGAAACAGATCAATTTGCTGTTCCACTTATTTATGCATTCATTGGTTGATTCTTGTATGTGCCCTGACTGGGGATTGAACCCACAACCTTGGCATATGGGGACAACACTAATTGAGCTACTTGGCCAGGGTCTCAATTCATTGTATTTTATTATCCCCAATATGATGCCCAAATTGTTACAACTTTGGCCAGTGGTGGTTAACTTGCATATTCCCCTTTTATTAGATAGTATATATAATTTTACAGATGTAGAAGTTGAGATGTAGAGAAATTGAGTCTCTCAGATAACAGAGTTTAGCCAATTCTCCTGATTTTGAGGCCAATAATTTTTCAACCCCCACACAGCTATCCTATGTAATAAGAGAGAAATATGCTAATTAGCCATTATGCCCTGAGGCGTAATGACCAAGCACATCACAACCAGATCACGGATCAGCAGGAGGGTGGGCCAGTGAGGTACAAGCAGACAGCAGAGAGCTACAGGACAGGGCAGGGCAGCAAGCTGTGGAGGGTGGGGAGGGTATGGGGAGCTACAGGAAGGCAGGGCAGCAGGCAGAGAGCTACAGGAGTGTGTTAGTGACCTACTGGTACACAGATTTGTGTGCAGGGCTATTAGTACAAATTATATTAAGAAACTTCCAAAGTTATATGTAGTTCTCTATCTTAAAGAAATAAGCAAGGCCATACTGAAATTATCTTAAATCACATGACCTTCTGAATTTTCAATACCTGTAGGGACAAAAGTACCAAAATATTCCAGGGCTTTAATGACTATAAATACCCTCTGAAATATTTTATTTAGTGTTTCATTTCAGTGCTTAGATATGATAGAAACTACTTCACTTTTTTTAACTCAGATCACAATTAACACAAATTACTCTTTGAAGATATTTATAATATCCAAAATTTCCTTCCCTTATTGCAAAGTTATTGTTACATAGGAATATTCTATCTTCTCATCTGAATATTTATATGTAAAAATTTGCTTCCTCATTAACTCTTCCAATTGAACTTTAAAATTGCTCTTGCCACATTCTTGCTAAATGTGTTTTATTTTTAAAAATCACAGTCTTGCTGTGTTTAAAAAATTAAATTTGATAGCACCAATATCAAGTTTTAGCTTTTTAAAAGAACTATGGTATGTTAGTAGACAACCCTTCTCATAAAGCAACTTTATGCAGCCTTTCATCTATATTCAGCTTCTGATAGAGCTCATTATCTGAATGTTAAAAATAAAAAACAAAAACAATAATAACTGAGGAATCACAGACTTTCCAATAATTTTTCTCTTTCTTTCCATGGAAAAGTTATTCTGAATGAAAAATTATCTTCAATATAAAGTATTTATTAAAATATTTTGTAACCAATACATAATAGGCATTTAATCAATATTTGTTTGCCAGTGTTTTTAAATTTTTCAAATAACTGATTCACCTCCTAAGATTTCTAAGTTAATCCCCTTTAGTAAGATAAGACTCCCTTGAAGTTGGCATTCTCCATTTAGATAGCAATGGATTCCACTAATGTTTTTGAAAAGCTGTTGTTTTTTAGCTAAGTTAAGAATAATCACTTGAAATTGGTTTAAGGCTTAGCAAATTTATTCTCTGTTGAAAAAGTAATAACCTTTTAGCCTGGTCTCTGTTGAATATTTTCAAATTCTAAATTAATAGAGTCTGACTAATAATAAAAAAAACCATTTTTTTTCTCTCTTACAATGTAGTGTCGATAAGCTTTTCTTAAATGTGTGATTTACAGGGTCTCCTGAAAAAAATAAAGGTTCGTGGTGAAACATTTTTGTGAAATTCTCAGCTGAAGGGTCTTACACAGATTTTCAGGACTTCAGAGAACCTTCGCTACTGTGTCCGTGTACATTGCGGGTCTCTGAAAGAGGGTTATCTGATGCAGCATTTCTTTAATGTGTTTGCCTGCAAGTCTTCCATGGGGAGAATGTCTGTTTTCTTTTTTATAGATGAGTACATGGATAGAAAGTACAAGCCTTTTTTAAGGGGATTAAACTGTATCAGAGTTTATTTCACTACCACAATCATAGGAAATTTTCAGAAGGCAACTAGATAGTTCTAAATATGTCCTATTGATTACAGGATTGTAGATGTAGAAAATTAATATTGTATAAAATAAACTTAAGACAAGGCTCCTCTTGATTTAACCCACAAGAAGTCACAAGAAAATCAGGGCAATCCTAGAAAGAAGCAGCAGAAAGGGACAAATGGAAAACAAAAAGAACTCGTCAGTCAGTAATGGCACTGTTCCCCCATCCCATCATGACATGGCCAGGTAATAACAATGCTTACTCTGGTCCTCTTGTGACCAATTAATTGTGACTGGAAATGACATGTATCACCAGAACTTTTAATTTTGATGAGAGACCCTACAGTATTCTCTTTTTTGTATTTGGCATAGGGCAAGCAACCTTTGAAATGATAAGATCCATCATGAGTTTTTGAATGACTAGGATGAATAGAGATTCCTTATTGATCTGAAAGAATGGGGACATCTATAATATTTTCAACAATAAAGATAAATTTAAAAGAATGGATAAGCCTGGTACATTTCTAACAGTATCATATGAAATAAAAAAACATCAATAGACTTATTTCTACTAAGGTTATAAATCTTCTCTAGTCAATAGTCATGAATGTAATATTTTTTATTTTTATTTATTTTATTTTATTTTTCCCAATCACCATTTATCTCCCCTATACCCTCTTCCACCTCCACACCACCTATCACCACACTGTTGTCAGTGTCCATGAGCTTTTTCTCTTTTTTTGCTCAATCCCTCCACCCTCCCCTAATAACACTCCTCCCCGACCCCCAATGCTGTCTTCAGGCTCTCTATGTATGAGTCTGTCTCTATTCTGCTTGTTAGTTCAGTTTGTTCTTTAAAATCTTTATTGTTTTAAAGCACAAAAATTTTATGCTTTGAAGTTATTATTACTGGGTATTACCTAGCCAATACTGATACGCCTGAACTGTTTGAATCTGAGTCTATTTTCTAATGTTAATAAATCTGTACCCAGAATGATTTATCTTTTTTTGCCAAGGTTAATGGATCATTGTAGGAAATAATCTTCTCTAAAGGTGGGTTACCATTGTCCTTTTGCTCATGAAGTAAAGGAGAACTTTTTTAAGCAAAACCAATGCTTAATATCAGAGATAAAATATTTGTATTTGGCGTACACAAATTTAGTCTCTCTAATGTCACCACAGTTATATCAGATAGGTCATTAATTTGTTTCATATAAGACTAGACTATTGAGCTGGTAATTTTATATTTCATTTCTTACAGTTTCTTTAAATTATTTGTTCTTTAATGATTGTCATAATATCCAATAAATATATGAAACTTAAACATATTTATGTAAGACATCTTTGGACATTTCACTCTGTAGATGACTCAAAATAACAAAAAGAGATGACTGATAGAAAATACTCAATCTGTTTATTAATGAAAGGAAGAAACATTTTTTGTCCTACTATTGACTGGTAGGTTAGTAATTATTACTATTAAAGTCAAAGAAAATTGGATTCCAATACTTCCTGTGTGGGCTTGAGCAAGTTAATTAAACTCTGATGTTAAACCTATATCCAATGAAAATACATTTATCCTCTTTAAACTGTTTATCTGTATCTACCCAAATAGATACAGGGGGGAAATGTATATTTGATAATACTCCAAAGGAAGAGGCCACTTGATTGTAGTTCAAACACCCAGGCTGATGCACCAATTATTATCTGTCTGGGGAGAAAACGCCTGGCCCTGGCCCACTAAAGGTCTCTATCAACATCACCCACTTTTTGACCAGGTGCCTTGAGATATAGGGGCTAAATTTCAACTTCTAGTACATTTTGAGTTTGCTTTTTAATCCTTTCTGAAGAATGGGAGTTTAATCAGAATCCAAAGCATAGAAAATCACATACTTCATCATTTATACAGGACTCTATTAGGCAGAAAAGGCCTTAGGTTCTTAAGGTATTTTCCTTTGAAGACAAATGCAGTGCAAATCCCAGTAAATGCCATTGCCCATCATCTGCGAGTGAGCTGTCCTGTAGTGACTTAGAATGGATGAGAGAAAGCTGGCCCCGTGACGGATAAAGCTGCAGCTATCACTTGCTGTCGAATGACTGATAGTCTAAGGAGCACTTTGGATCTACCTATCAGACATTTCTTCTCCACATGCTTCCTTATGGACTAGACATCTCACCATTTGCCTTAATCCCAAAGATTCCTTTTGGAGATATGAATATTTTTACCTGTTTTGGGTCATTATCTTACTTAAAAAATGAAACAGATTAACTGGCCTTGCATTTTAATAGAGTCAACCAACTTATAATTATCTAAGACACTCATATACAGGATAAAGAAAAACAGGGAAAGGGATTCAATACTTTTCCCAGTGACATATGTCTCCCATAAGGAAGGAAGGAAGGAAGGGAGGGAGGGAGGGGAAAGGGAGAGAAAAGAAAGCAGAAAATGATTGGGAGCTTTTGTCAGGTTCGCTGCGGGGACATCAGTGCTGTACATCCTTAAAGAGCAGCATGGGGGTATACTTCTTGAGAAGAGGGGTGGAGAAGCCAGGGCAGTGAAGCAAAACAGCTGGACACACAAGTCTGGGTAAAGCGAACTCTGGCCCTGACCCCTTACCTGCCTGTCTAGACAGAGCTATGAGCAGAGTCAGAGGCTGTCCAGGACTGGCTTTCTATAAAGTAACACGATTAGGCCTGTGAGCACTTACCATCTGTGAATGATGCTAAAAGCAAGCAACATGCTCCCTCCCAACTGACTTTAGGCATATCAGGCATAATTAATTTGCTTAGTGTTTTTCCATTAAGGTCTCTACTCCCCACATTTGCCCTGATGTTTCCAGACAAATGTTTCCAGACAAATATTTGAATTTGTTTGCTTGGTGCTGATTACTTCTTAATGCACAATTCTAGATATACTTCTTGGACAATGAACAACAAAACAAAAACCCAGAACAAAATACTTTTCTAATATAAAGAGCACACTGTCATTTACAGGTATTTTGGGTCTAATAATCTTGCTAGCTACAAAAAATTCAGAGGTCTGTACATAAAATGAAATGAAAAGGAAAATATAACAATTTTATTCCACCTTCAGTAAGTTTGTACTTTATAGCAGAGACAAGTGCTAGATTTTATTCTGACAGCAATTACTTATTTATTGTTAGAATAAAGATTGACTCCTTATAGCGAACAAATTCTTTCTCCCTCCTGTTTTTCAACGTTAGGAGATATCATAAAACAACGCCAATTACTTCTTGGCCCTTCTCTTCTGAGCTGCCCATTTTCTCTAGATGCTCTTCTAAGTCCTACCCTTCACCGAGCCCTGGTGGGAAGACGTTATCATGGCGAGGCTGTCACAGCAGAGGCCACAGTGCCCTGTAAGCATCACCACTGGCTTATGCAAAGTCATGCTTCTCAATGTCACACATCGGACCTCTTTCTACATTGCTCTCTTTAGAGGGAAATGCCTAAGTTGACTAGCTGTTATGCTATTTTTTTTTTAAATCATTGCAGGCAGGAGATAATATCTACATGGAAACACCATTTTGGATGATTAGAGACACTGAAAAATATTTCTTTTCAGTCCTCAGGACGGTCTTCCAGCCTGAGCCCTCTGATGGGCTTCTTCTACATTGTTTCCAGGTCTGGCAGAGGTGAGCTACCCCCCAGAAAACCTGCCCTGTTGTTGTTGCTACTACATTCTGCTTAGGAAGATGTTTCTGAAGCTGCTCCATTGAAAATCTCCCTCTAAACCTGAAAACATGGGATGCCTGAGTTCCTGCAGGGAGTCTGCAGTCCCCCTTCAGCAGGTGAATGGTTAATGCAACTTTGGTTTGTCCATACCATGGAACACAACTCAACAATCAGTGTTTACACATGCAACAAAAACCTGGGTGAATTTTCAGAGAATGATGCTGAGTGGACAAAGCCCACCCCAAAACATTACATTCTGTGTCATTCCATTTATATCACATTCTAGAAACGACAAAATGGTTGAAATGGAGACGAGATCAGTGGCTGCCTGAGGTTGAGGAGGGAATAAGGGCAGGGGAGAAGTGGATGTGGCTACAGAAGGGCAGCCTGCGGGATCATTGTGTTGATGGAAATGTCTTGACTTTCAATGTCAATCTCCTGGTTGTGGTATTGTACTGAGCTTTCCTAGATGTTTTCACTGGGGTAAACTGGATAAAGAACAAAGGGAACTCTCTTTACTATTTCTTAGTAAATGCGAATATATAATTACCTCAAAATAAAAAGTTTAATTGAACAAATAAATGTGTCCAGACAAATGCAATCACGGACGATTGACACGAAATATATGTCCTGGTAGGATACTGTATGTCTTTCATACATGGGCATGCACACACATACATACACAAATGTGCTACTGGTTCCCTGGGTGTGGATTTTATTTTCTACTTAAGGATTTCTGTGAATCTATGACAAACTGCCATTTGATTGTTTTATATTCACTGAAATAAAACAAAAGTAAACTGTTGTCTGATCTTACATCCAATGTATATTCTTTCCTTGGTTAAAATTCCTGCAGTCCCTTGATTAAAGGTCCCTGGAAACTGGGAAAAGGAGAATTTATATTTAGAGACAAATCTCAACTGTTTGAATGCTAGGAGAGGAAGCGGGAGGGCCGTGCTGCTATTTGCACGTCCAGTCCGTCTCAGCATCCAGCCTGAAACACTGATTTGTATCTGTGACAATTCTGCAGCCCAGTGGGAGAGGAGCTTTAGTAAATACGATATATACTGTTCCATCACAGCTGAGCTAATGTCCCAGCACTCCCATTGCCTCCCAATGCCTGCAGACGTGTTACAGGCTGTGCGTCTCACACTGGCCTCTATGCCCACAGGCATCTTGGCTGTCACGGGGGCAAATTGTACCCGATGAGGCCTCGGGTCCTATCCAACCCTAAATGTTCAGGATTGGCTGAGAGCAGCTGCAGTGCTTTCTTCATCCCCCTCAATTGCTCTCCCCTGAGAGGAGACTGGCAGCTTCAAGTTTGACTTCTCAGTAATGACCTTGATTCATCCTATTGGGTGGCACAAACTCCCTCAACATTTAGGATTTCTGAAAAGCAGTCCGTGTTCTTTCTCCTTTCAGACAATGCTCTGAGGATTTAATTAACGTTTGACCAAGCTGGTCTACATTTCCAAAGACTCGGTGGTTGGTTCTATGATGGACTTGCATTTTTAAAAAATCTAAACCTAAAAGATGTATATTGGTTTAGCAGTTTCTAGGTCACATCCACTCTGATTTTCAAAAACCAACCATCCACCTTCGCAGACATGCTCTGAGAGGGAAGCCCTGTTTGCAGAGACATGAAGGCACCAAGGTAGGGGAGGCATAGGTCAGGACTGGAGCCTTCTCCCATCTCTCCACCTACTCGCCTTCACTTCCTTCACTGCCCTGTTGGGGATGTGCACAAGTATAACAAAGGGGTGTGGTCTTCTTAGGGGTCCTGAGACCATCGAATTTTGTCAGTCACACTCTTGACACCCTGATTGCACTAAATTGGTGTGTACATGCTGAGAATGCAGACTGCTTCTCATTTCCTTGGCTTTATCCATTTGGACATCGGAACTCCTCAGTTCCTCCCTTCTCTCCTTTAAGCCAAAAAATGTGGGACTCTCACCTCGAGACTCAAAAACCTGGAGATGCTTGCTTCAAACGTTTGCCATTCCCTTTATGCCCTCGTCCCTCTCAGCAGAGGTCCTTACCTAGTCATTTACTGAGAACCAGGCTCTTTGGCAAGAGGTTCTTCATCCTGCCTCTCCTTCCTGTCTGTCCCAGACAAGCATCCATCTCTCCTCCAGGGTGTCAATTTCATTTCCTCCTGCCTCCTTGAGGACCTTGTTTCACCAAAAATCTCTTTTCTTTTTTTGTAATTTTACATTTGGAATCTGTTTTTCATACATAGATGAACAATCAAGTCCTTTGTATTTATAAATATTTTCTTAGCACCACTCCTTCAGTTACTGTTGGATCTTTTCCTTTCTTCTTCCCTCCTTTTTTCTTCGGTCTTCTTTATACTTGTTTTCCTCAGTTCTTCTTGACCACTCCACTCCCCACCCCACTGAAGTCCCATGGCTTCCAGCCCAGCTGGTTCTCTTTCCGAACCCTAATGACACTTTCTCTGCCTCTTTCACACGCTCTTTTTTTCTCCTCTACCCTTTATAATAGTTTACCCCTCATATCTACCCAAGGCTTTTGGTTCTAGAGTTACTTTTCTATATTTTAGGAATCACTTTTATTTCCTGAGCTTCATCTATCAGTTTTATGCAAAGGAACCAAGTAAGAAGGGATTCTTCTCATGACCCATTTAGCCATATAATAATGAAAGTGCTACCATTGAGCAATAATTCTACGGGGGTTATAATATAAGGCAAGAAATGTTTGCTTAGAACCCCGAAAAAAGGCTAGTGTTCTGACTCTGTGTCTAAACCTTAGTTTTATCATATGAAAACAAAAAGGTTGGACAAGACAATATCTGTATCTTTTACCTCATAGTCAATGATTTGTGTAGAGTATTTTTTTAAATATGTCATTGCTCCCAGTGTCTTAACTTCTACCTCAGGAAGACAACATGCCAACTAGAAAAAGAGATGTTTTTGTTTTAGGATTCTACTATAATATTGCTTTATAAAATTTAGTTAAAGAAATTAACTCCTTGGTATTAATTTTTTATTAATTTTAGGGCCTAGGGCATAAGGGGAGAAGGCTCAATTTAAGTTGGAAAAGATTTTGATTTGCCATTACCTAGGATTCAGATGTAAGAGTTGGGGCTACCATAATAAGTGCTAGAGTTATTATTATTTTTAAAAGTCAATTCCTGTATCCCAGATACCTAGATGTAGAAAAGGCTCATAAGTTTGGCCTTGACTCACTTTTTCAGGGGGGAAACTGTTACATTTCATTTGTCATGGGTCATTGAAAGATGCAGTTATCATTAACTGCTAAAGCCTTCAATCAAAAGAACTACAAAATCTGCCAATCTGGGTGTTAAAAATAAACTCCTCTTCCTTTTTAATAGGGTGTCTCAGTGGAACTTTTAATGTGTGACTGACCCAAGGTCATTTCCAAGTCACCTTAATCCTTGTCAACAAGCACAGCTGTGAGCAGGAACTCACAGACGTAACACTCTATCTTTGCTCAGATTGCCTGTCCTCACCAGCGCTCAAGGTCCAGCCCTTGGAGCCTCTCATGCTTCCTCTCTTTTAAGACAGTATGAGGTCCTCAGTCTGATGTTTTGCAAGATTCACTGGAGGCCAAAGTTAGAGTGTAGGATGAGTTTAAATATAAGTAATTTGATTTTAAAAAACCACTTGTAGTAAGTACTCGGTAACACATTTTAAAGCACAACCAAATTGTCTATTAATATTCTACAATATAAGAGGCTAGACCGATACTGCTATATTTTTAAATTCCCTTTCTTGAATTTTGCAATCAGCCTTTTATTATTTAATAGACACTAATGGATAATTCAAAGTAGTACATCATAAAAAATTAAAGTCGTCTTCAGATATCCTCATTATTATACATTTCTTATCTAAGAAAAACCTTTAAGCCTGCTTGAAACTCCTGTCCTTCAGTTCTGCTGGATGGGCTTTCTGTTTCCTGTGCTTTTCCCTTCTCCCTGCTCCCTCACTGCTGGGGCTTTCTTCCTCCCTCATCATCAATTCATGATACACCTCAGGTGAGTAGTCCAAAATGAGTCCCCACTGGCTGGAATGATGGTGAAGTCCAAAGGTTCATCAATACTTTTTGATTGTTACTGCTTTACTCACTTTTCATGGATCTAATCATTCCTTCACTCATCACTCCCAAGATGGTCTCTGTCCCAAATCTCACCTCTCTCAAGTGCTCTGACTCTTCATCCCAGCCCCAATGGTGTTCAGATAAATAGTAACTGTCCCTCTAAAGCAGTCCAACCTTTCTCTTGACAATTGAACCTACCACCAATGGTTAGCTCCAAATATTGTTTACAGAGACCCACAATAAGCCACTATATTTGACTCTGTCCTCTGCACAGCAAAGGAAACCATCAACAACATGCAAAGGCAACCTATGGAATGGGAGAAAAATATTTTCAAACCACATACCGAATAAAGAGTTAATATTCAAAATATATAAAGAGCTCATACAACTCAAAAGCAAAGAAACACACAGCCCCTTTAAAAATAGGCAAAAGACATGAATGAACATTTTTTCCCCAAAGAAGACATACAAATGGCCAACAGGTATATGAAAAAGTATTCAACATCATTAATCATCAGGGAAATGCAAATCAAAAGCACATTGAGATATCAAGTCACATCTGTTAGGATGTCAATGATCAAAAACACAAGAGACGCCACGTCACGTGTACATAGGTCATGACGTGTCCATGGCCAAAGTTCTTATATATTTCTTTTATAAGCTGAAAGAAGGTCTATTTATGTTTTTAGGTCTATGAATGGAACGTTGTAAATGCCTGTCAGTCGAACAATAAAATGATTGGAAAGTGAAAACAAACAAACAAAAAACAAACCCACAAGAGATAAAAAATGTTCATGAGGATGTGGAGAAAAGGGAAACCTTGGTATACTGCTGGTGGGACTGTAAATTGGTATAGCCATTATGAAAAAATAGTATGGAAGTTTCCCAATTAAAAGTGGAACTAACATGATCCAGCAACCCCACTCCTGGGTATACATCCAAAGGAAAGAAAACAGGACATTGAAGAGATATCTGCACTCCCACATTCATTATGGCACTATTCGTGATACCAAGATATGGAAACAACATAAGTGTCAATAGATAAAGAAAAGGTTATATTTTCATACAGAATTTTATTCAGCCTGAAGAAGAAGAAGAAGAAGAAGAAGAAGAAGAAGAAGAAGAAGAAGAAGAAGAAGAAGGAGAAGAAAAAGGTCCTGCCATTTGTGACACCATGAATGAAACTTAAGGGCATTATGTTAAGTGAAATAAGCCAGATAGACAAAGACAAATACTGCATGATATCATTGATATGTGAAGTCTGGGCCAAAAAATGAGTTTATCAAAGCACAGAGTAAAATGGTGGTTTCAGGGGCTGGATTGTGGGGGAAATGGAGAGAGGTTGATAAAAGTGTATAAACTTTCATATACAAGAAGAATAATTTCTGAGAATCTAATGCATCACATAGTGATTATAGTTGATAATGTTGTATTGTATAATTGAAATTTACTAAGAGAGTAGGTCTTAAGCATTCTCACCAAAATAAAAAGTTATCTACATAAGATGATGGATGTTTTATTAACCTGATTGTGGCAATCATGTCACAAAGTATATGTACATCAAATTATCATGTTGTATACTTTAAATATAAGACCATTGAATTTGTAAGTTATAAATTTGTCAATTTGTCTCAATAAATAGCTAAAATAATAATGAAAAAACACAGTAGAGTGAATTTCAGAGGACATTTTAACTGGTCTGGGCAAATAGTCTGGGGTTTTAAAAATAAAGTAATGAACAATAGAGAGGCTTCTTGTCAATAAATTATAAAACAGATTTTGCCATATATACATCAAAACACCTCAAATTGCTCACAATATGATTACTTACTTTATGAAAAAATCCTAATGCAGGAAACTCAACATAAAGATTAGCAAGTATAATTATATGCACTTATTTTTTTAGTAGAGAATTCTCATTGTCAAATAGATAAAATTACTTTAAATTAAATGAATTAGAACTAAGAGCAGAGAGCCTTAGCATTACCTAAAGTGCCCACATTTCCAACTATCTAACAAGGAAGGAGAACTGTAGGTCAAAGGTGAAAGAGGTCCACGGTCAATCACCAAATTGCTACAGAATAAGTCCTGGGGCTACCGGCACAGCGTGAGCTCCACTCCTGATGGCTTGCTTTTTCAAAATTGTTCAAAAGGATGGATATTTAATTTTTTTTTTTCTTAAAATGAACTGCAAAACCCAGAGGTAGTCATCATGCCCCAGGACTATGATCCAAAAATAGAAAAAAATTGCAAAGGATTGCAACTTGACCATATGGCCTCTTTAGCTATAGAAGCTGGTAACATTCCTTGCTCTCTCCTCAGCTCAACTCTGGCTTACATGACCACCAGGGCATAACTATTTGGCTGTCCTGGTTAAACTTAGCATCCTTCACCACAGCTTGATTACACCACAGAGTTTAAAAAATAAAAATCTAGCCCAGTCGGTGGGGCTCAGTGGCACCAAGAGGTAGTTGATTTGGTTCTAGTCAGGGCACATGTCTGCATTGCAGCTGGATCCCCAGTAAGGGGCACGCAGGAGGCAGCCATCAATGTCTCACTCTTACCACGTTTCTCTCCCTCTCCTTTCCTCTCTCTTTAAAATCAATAAAAACATACTATAATTTTAAAAAAACAAAAATCCAGCTACCAGATTGGTTAAGAATGTACCAGCAGCCATACTCATTAAATGCGTTGTTCGGTATTTTATACGTTTCTGTTTGCCTGTTGAAAAAGGAGGGCCAAGGACGGAGAAGCTTCCGGTGGGAGGGCCTTATTTCTCTCCAAGTCAGACAACACCTGACTCCAAAGGGAGACCAGGATGATTGGGGACTCTTCAATTCCAGCCAGTGGATTGAAAAGATGATCTTATCAATAGTTTCATTGTTGACACGATACTGCTTGTCTAATGTATATAGTGTAGTATAAACACCACGAGAGACTTTTTTGTTGTTTTTACTTGCTTTTAAAAAGTTTTTCACCATCTTCACTTGTTTTCTTTCAAACAGAAATTGTTTTGGATTCCACATCACTCTTGGAAACCTTCATGTGCAGCATGATAGCTCATTTGTTCACATCTAGACCTATTTATTAACTGTCTATCAAAAGAAAATAACAATTTTAATGAGGGTGCGGCTTGCTATTCAAAATCACCAGTGGCCCCTTACAGTGTTTTACTGAATGAAATTAAAGCTAATTTAATCAAAGGAGGTTTAGCTGCAGCTCTAACCATGGGAAATAAGACATTTTCAATAGTTACTGAGGAGGCTCATGTGTGTCTCTCTGAGCAGGGCCTTCCCTCAGGGAGCGTCAGCGCACAGACAGAATCAGGGGGCTTGGGAGTATTTAGTTCCTTGGATGGAACTGTCAAGATGTCCTTGGCAGTAGGTGTTCTAATGAGGCAGCAATATCAGAGACCAGCAATATCTCTTTAAATTTAGAAGGACTGCTCAGTAGGAGTGAGCACAGTTGCAAAATTAGAAAAAATGTCAGAGGTTCCTCATGCAATTAAAAGAGACCTTTTTAGAGGATAAGTCTTTTAAAAAAAAAAGAAAGGAAGACCATGACTCTCATACAAACACAAAAATGAACACATGTCTAACATTTAATTTAATTTATTAATTAATGAGGAAACTAGTAAAATGCTATCAGCTTAAAGGAGAATTCCAAGAACCATGCATATATAGGGAATAAGACATTTTGAAATGAATTTACATTCAATGCAAAATGGATTCATCCAAAGGGAAATAATAATTGCATCCACCAGATATACATTTTTCTGGGCAAGAATCAATTGTATAATTATCAGTTTCCTAAACTTATAAAGTTTAAAATAGTTTAATGACAATGAAAAGCAGTGATAACCTCATGGATGAGCTAAACAAGATACCCACTTTTTTCCCCCCATTTCAAAGTCTTCAATTACTTTTCTGGATGCCCTGTAGTCAAGGGCCTCTTAGACACCTGGGATTAAAACCCTCAGACAATAGGCTGTGCCTCTCGACTGTGTTTCCTGAACTGTCTCCTCCAATGCAGTCTGCTGACTCAATACTGCCTCGCTAATAGTGCTTTACTCTCTGTGACCCAGCTGGTGATATGCCTTGCCTTACTTAGCCCAAAATGATTTAAGATAATTATTATTATTCATATTAATAAATACAGAGAGCAAGGTTTGCAGACCTTTTGAAAATTGTCCAAAATCTTATGGTTAACAAATGGCAGAGGTGGAATTAAAATCTATCAACTTTTGATGTCATTAACTAGCACACATTAGCATTCAGGACCACTCTGGTTCTCTCATCATTATTCAGTTAATGCCTTTACCTGCCTTAAGGCAAAATTTTTCTGGACTTAGCTGCAGAATGAGCTTCTCTGTGTGGCTCCGGTGTTCCTGCCTATACTTCAATGACAGCACCTAACATACTGCCTTACATCATGTGTGTTTATATAATAACTAAGATTAATGAATATGTATTATGTCTTGTACTTTGCACATAGTATCTAATGTAATTACCATAGGCCACCTATAAACTGAGTAATACTGTCATGCCTATTTAAAAATCAGAAAACTGAGGCTTAGAAAAATAAATAATTTGCATATGGTCACAAAGGGAGAGAGTGATAGAGGTAGATGTCCAGTACTTCAATGATTGTACCTTGAGGCCCCTTGGCCATGGACTTTTCTCTCTTTTGAACAAGGAGGAGGACCTATAGGTCTTGTGATGTGCTGGCTGAGGAAGACTAATTCTCTCAGCTGAGCATACATTCAAATGAAGATGATATTGAGGTGGATGGAGGTCTTCTTTTTCCCTCAAGTTTTCTTCCATTTTCCTTCTCTTTGGCCTCACCTTTTCTACTGCAGATTCTTCTTCTATGTTGCTTCATGGAGGGGGGGGACAGGGGGAATGAAAACATTTGTGGTTTTATTATATTTATGGCTCAATATTTAGGAAAGGAAGGTTCTCTTTCCAAGCACCAGGAGGCAAATATTATTAAAAACATTCTTTCTCCCAGTTTGGGCCACTGCGAGGAAAGGCATGGCCAGGCAGATGACAGGACATGTGTGTCCCAGGCTATGGACAGGACACTGTGAGAGTAGTAACCCAGGATCAGAAGGAGGCACCGTCCCCCAAAGGAAAAGAGGAATGCTATTGTCAAACAAAGGAGGGGAGAATGCTGGGCAGGTACCAACAACAGATGTCCATGGTACTGAAATTTCCCAGGGTATTTTTATATTATGAAAACTGTTTTTCTTCCAATTTATTATACAACATTTGACTCAATAAAAATAGGGTTGTTTGTTTGTGATTGTAGTGTTATTTCTAACACTACAAGTTATCCTGTACGTGTATATGATTCAATATTCTTCTCAGTCCATTTTTAAAAGATCCAAAAACTTTGAAAAACAAAACTGGTTTAGAGCTACTTTAGAACTTTGCTTCTGTTTGAGCTTAAATATTTGTGTGGATTTTTATGATAATTTGAGAAAACAGGTATAGAACAGAGAAGAATAAAGTAGACTTAAAAATTAAGCCAGTAATAAAGAACATCTACTTAAGTAATGAGAACTTTTTGGAAGAAGATTTACAATCTGAACTATCTTTGCAATGAAAAAATGATAGGAATATTATTAAATAGGTACTGCATGCATAATGCTGTTCTCAATTTTAATGAAACAGAACCTGAATCACATTTTTCTTTCCAAATGAATTGGATTCATTGAACATTTTAATGATGAATGTAC